CGGTTTTGTTTATAAAAGAAGAGAGAAATTTATAAAAAATACTTCCATTAATTCTTTAATAACTTATAACCTTTAACCTTTTGGAAAAAGAAGAAAGTCCTTATGGTCCAAAATGTTGTACATGACTTAATAAATAATACCATATGATATATATTATGTTACTCATTAATGAAAATTATTAATTCCAAGAAGCAAATAATTTTCAATTTATTATAAGAGTTTGTTGAATATTTATTAAAATCAAATTTTAATAAATAATCAATTGTATCAAGTTGTTGTTAGTGTGACCCTTATGATCATATATTAATTAACAATATCACTTTAATATTACTCTTGAGCATATGATATCTTTTAACAAGTTCATGCACGATACCGAGCTTATAGACTTAAAGATTGGTGGCCAGAGATTCACATACTTCTATGATGATGGTTTCAAGCTTAGAAAGATAGACAAGATTCTTGTTTGCCCCAAATTCATGTTCCACTTTCTATTTGTATGTGTAATCACTTTACCCCGGGAATACTCGAACCACTCCCCGGTTATTCTCCATGACAATTATGTGGATTTGGATCCGTGGCTTCTTCGTGATTGTCTCAATCAGGTTGTCTTCAATACTTAGTCATCTTATCATGGGCATGAACCAGCTAATAAGTACATGGTTTACAAGCTTAAGGTTGTAGAGAATGTGATAATCAAATGGAGCCAGACTGAATTTGATAAAGAACACAAGCAACTTCTTGACGCAAAGCTAGAGTTGAAGGTCTCGACTGGGCTGTCGAGGAAAGGCCTATATCAGCTGATGAAATCACAGATCTTCATGATGACAAGAAAAAGATCCTTGAATTTGAACACTTGGCGAGACTTGATTTACAACAAAGATCAAAAGTTAAATGACTTACTGATGGGGATGAAAATACCATGTTCTATCATAGTTTGTTAAAAATCAAAGCGAAGAAGAACTCCATTCAGGGGCTTATGGTTAATGAGTGTTGGGTTTCCAATAAGGACTCTCTCAAGGTGGAAGCCTTGCGATTTTTTCGGGAAAATTCAAAGAACATCATACAGTTAGACCATTGCTTCTCAATCAAACCCTCAAATACCTTTCTATTGATGTCATTTCCTTTCTGGAGAATGACTTTTGGTTGGAAGAAATAAAAGATGCAATTCAGGATTACGGTGGCATAGGGCTCCGAGCCCAGATGGTTTCACGTTCAATTTCATAAGGAGATATTGGACCCAAATGCAAGATGACATAATGAGATTTGTCAAATTCTTAGAGAATAATGGGTGTTTGTCCAGGGGCCTAAGTTCTTTGTTTATATCCTTAATCCCCAAAGTCAAGGATTTGTTAACTCTTAGTGACTTCAGACCCATCAGCCTTATTGGTTTCCTCTACAAAGTTATCACCAAAGCTCTCGCTAACCGCATCAAGCGGATTATTAGTTCAGTAATTGATGATATCCAAACTGACTTTATAGAGGGGTGTAGCATCCTTGATGGTCCCCTAATCATTAATGAAATAGTAAGGTTTTTACAGATAATAATAATACATGAATTGCCATAATAGATAGACAAATAATACAACAACAAATAAACTAGCTCACCTGTAATCCAATTTGTCTTGAATGTTTGTTTAGTGATTTACTAAGAATACATGTAGTTTTGAGGATCAACACAAGGTTGGTGAGAGTTACAAGTTTTTTTCTAACATCAGCAATACATTCAAAAGACTAAAAAGTATTTTCTTTGTAAGTATAACAATAGTTAAAATTGTATTTTCAAAGAGTCTTTGAAAGACAAAATGTATCTTTGTATAAGTATATCCATACATAAAACTGTGTTTGTAAAGAATCCTTGAATATTTGAAAACCAAACTGTACCCTTACATAAGTAATTTCATCCTTAAATAGTTTTGAAAGCAACCAATCCCATGGTTTGTAGAGAGAGAGAGAGAGAGAGACAGAGAGATAGAGAGACAGAGAGAGAGAGAGAGAGAGAAATATATTCCATTTAATGTTTATAGTGATTCCTACAACCGAGCTATGTGACTGAATGTACCCCCTACAATGTTTCAATGGACGTTGTAGTAATAATTATTGACACTTATCACCCGCTTCGATTGATTGGTCGAGGTTGTAGCTAGCAACCGCAGGTGGGGATGTCAACCCCGTATAGATCTATACATATGTATCTCGCTCCGAAGATTAACGGTTATAATAGTGTGGGTATGCTAAGTGTTTAGACTCAGCTACTGAATATATTCTCACTAAAAAGTCCTTAATTAAAGTATGTGAATAGCTCTCAGCCCTAACTTAATTGTGGTTAGGCATAATGAATTTCATTGTATAAAGTTTATAAAAGCCGAGTATGCTTGGTAACTATGTAAAAGTGTAATGTACTCGCTTTTATAAAGAGGTATGTTCCAAAAGTAATGAACAAATATACATGTATAAACTTTATGTATTTAAACCAAGGTTGCAAAAAACGCTCGACGTTAGCTAGTGTGTGGACTGGGGTCAAGGGATTAATCGGCTAGGCGGAGATTAATCGGGTACCATTAATTGTTAATTTGTTGAATTTTAAAAAAAGAAATATGACTAATATTATATCAAAGTTCGTAAATACCACTAATATGTTAACAAAATAGGTTAATATGATTAATACAACACTATTCATGCCTCAAATAATTTCCATTGAGATAAAACTTCTTCAAAATGTTAAAATTTCATCGTTTTATAATGTTTCACTCATTATGTATGCAGGGATTAATCGCTAGGCGCCCTCTAATCGGTTGCGTAGCGCCTAGGGATTAATTGGAGATTAATCGTGACTTAGTCGGGTTTTTTTATAACAGTGATTTAAACATATAAATATATGTGCATAGTTATACCTTGAACCCTTGAAATACTACAAAGTTTTATGGCGTGCTTTTTATGATATATACAATGTCACATAAAAATCAAATACTTTTGTGTCATGTAGCATTTTTTGTGTGGACTATTTATTTCACGATAAAATAATGATAATACATATACGAAAAGTTTATACTAGTTTATTTGTAATAATATGATAAATTGTTAAATAACATTATTATAAATTTGATTTATTGTATTTTCGCATGAAGGATAATATATTTGTATAAACAAAGTATATAGACACATGTATTCCCCCTGGAAAAAATTAGAAATATTAAAAATGGTTTGTAAGCACAGCGTGAGTTCGATTTGTACGAAATATGTTTATTTTGAGTAGCTTGTCGTGAGAAACCGCAAAGTCACGATTCTAGAACTTTGATGTGTTTTCGAGACCGTTTCATAACGAATTTACACTATAGGGTTGTTAGGGAATTTAATTAACCAAGGTATGACTGTTTTGGTTAAAATAAATTAAGGAAGGGACTAAAATGGTTTAAATGGGATTAATGTTTGAGTGTTTGACTGATTTTGTTAAGAAATCTCCATGAGAGGGGGTGTTTTGTTTGAAATACACCAAAGTTTCGGGGAAAAGACTCATTTTGAATAAACGGTTCAGCAAAGGGGTTTAATGTGTTCAAGTTATAAAATCAAATGATTTTAGGGCTTTTTGTGGCTATTGCCATTTGTTGATCGGGAAAAGGAAAAGAACGAACAAATCCATGAGGGAAAACACGATGAACACAGAGGAACGAGACTGATACTAAAGATTGACGATGGCGAGAAATCACGAAGTCTCGCAGGCCTCTAATCCGGATGTCTTGGTCGATCGATCACGAAGAGGGAGGCATCTCCAGGGTCGACGAGACCGGAGAAAGGGGAGGAAAGATGCAGCGAGGTTGCTGTGGAGTTGGCGAAAGGAAGTGGAAAACGAGGGGGAAGAGAAAGGTGCGAGGGAGAGCTATGCGAAGCGAGGCCAGAAGGGGTCCGATAGGCAGCAGGTGGGGGCTTCGGTGGTGTTTGCTCGACAGAAGAAGAAGAGAAGGATGCGAAATTGAGTTGGAGATGGAGGGAATCAGAAGGAGCAGCCTTGCTCAAGACGAAATTTGCGAAGGATTGGAATTGAAGGTCGATCCGACGGAGCAAACAACGAAGGCTGAAGGTGACGATGGTGGGAGGCTGTTGTGAAGTCGATGGAGGGTTTGCTCCGGCGGTTGCAGGTGAGTGAATGGGAATAGCTGATCTCCGGTGACTCCCTTCCGCTGTTTTCCCTTCTCGGTGCCGGCAGTGGAGTGGTGCAGCAACAGCAGTGATCGAAGGGGTGTTTGGCTTGCTATTGTTCGAAGGGGTATTTATTTATTTATTTATTATTATTATTATTATCTTTTTTGTGGTTGCTTCATTTGACAGGAAAGAGATGAAAAACGATAGTGTTTGGGTTTGATGTTTCACAGGAATCCATTCCTTAATAATGGAGCTTTCTTGGCAGTCGATTGAAGAAAGAAAGAGATAAGAGTTTGAGTGATTAATTTGTTAAAGGAAGAGTGCAAGCAAGCCTCAATTTGTCATCCAAATTTGAATGTATAAGTATATTTTGTGTACATTGATTGAATTGTAGAAGCAAAAATCAGCTCCACTTTGTTTGTGTGTTAACTTGGGTAAGATGTATTGTGGAAGTAATAATTTCCATTTTGTTTGTGTGTTAACTTGGGTAAGGTGTATTGTGGAAGTAATATTTTAAATTGGCTGTCAATGTCCATTTAAGATAGGGATAATGACTTGAGAGGGTAACATACTTTTGAATTTGATCACATTTGATCACTGAACTTTTTTTTCGTGCTTTATTAACCCTTAAACTTGTTGAATTGTGCTAATTTTCCCCTTATGACCGGGTTTAACCGGTTTCAAAGGGTTTATTGATCCTACGTGTATTTTTCTATCCTACGTGGCGAAAGAGGTGGCATGTAGGCCCCGATTTTTCGTCTCCTTCTCGTTAAATCACACCCCGAAGTCTCATTTGGTCCTTAAACTCGACTAGGGCACAAAATTCTCCATCAATCCTTCGTCTCCTTCAATCGTTCTGTAGAATGGCATCATCTCCAAATCCTACTGATCAGAACTTCATTGTAGTAGATTTCCACTACAATGGTCAGTTTGCCCCCAATCCCTTAGTTTACTTTGATCCCGACAGAGCATCAGTGCGAGATGTTGACTTCAGTGGGTTTGGGTATGAGCAATTCATGGAATTCCTTCACAAGCTCACCAAATCGAGAAGCAAAGACATCTATTTCTGCCTTCCACAAGAGTCTTTAGATCTTGGAATTCATACACTGGTGAACGAGGGTGATTACAAGGAATTTTTGGATTTGGCGTATGCTAATGACAAGAGAATTTATGTATATGTGGATCACCATAATGAACCTATCTTCGATTGGATTGAGGCTGAGGAAAGTGAAAGTGAAAACGAAGACTTAGATGAAGATGAGGATTCAGTTATTCAAGATTCATATTCTGTTGATCATGAAGAAGATGATGCTACCTACCCATTTCCAGCAAACAAAACTGCACATGATAGATTTTTAAACATCCTTTGTGAACCTATAGAGAGTGAAGATCAAGATGATGAATACGTACCACCCCAATACCCTGTGTATGATGAGAGACAACCATGGGATCAGATGAAGCCAATTATAGGTATGCGATTTTATAACCCTACTGAGCTTAAACATATGTTAAGCAATTATGCAGTTGCTAATGGGTATGATCTATGGTTTGAAAAAAATTACTCTAATAGATTGTTAGTGAAATGTTGCAAAAAGAATAAGTCACCATCTTGCCCTTTCAGACTATGGGCCTCTTAGATGAGTAAAGAAAAGACTTTTCAGATCAAATCTCTAGTGAATGAACATAATTGTTGTAGGGTGTTTTAAGTTTGGGTCAATTGTAACTTATAGATGGATAGGGAAACATTTTATGAGTCCAATTATAGAGAACCCAAAAATGAGTGCAAGGAAGATGAAAGCTAAAGTGTCAACAACATTCAACATAAATGTGAGTGTGGGGCAATGCAGAAATGCAAAGAAATTTGCATTACAAGAGATTGAAGGAAGTCTAATTGAACATTATGGGAGATTGTGGTCATATGGTGAGGAAATTATCAGGTCAAATCCTGGGTCTACTGTGAGATTGGATATAGACATCATGCCATATTCCACAACTTTGTTTTCCAAGTTTTATGTGTGTTTCAAAGCTGTAAGGGATGGTTGGTTAGAAGAGTGCAGGCCTGTAATTGGGCTTGATGGTTGCTTTTTAAAGGGTATAGTTAGAGGAGAAGTTCTTTCAGCTGTTGGGAGAGATGCAAACAACCACATCTACCCTTTAGCATGGGCTGTGGTATGTGTTGAGAATAAAGAAACATGTAAGTGGTTCATAGATTTGCTTATGGATGACATTAATGGTGGTCTTGGTACAGGCATTACCCTTCTTTCTGATGGACACAAGGTTAGTACTAGGTCATTTTTATGCTTTTTCACTCATAATGATGTTGTGATTTGTAGGGGTTATTACAAGCAGTTAAGGAAAGATGTCCAGAAGCTGAACATAGGCAATGTGCTAGACACATTGTGGCCAATTTTAATAAAAGGTTTACTGGTCAAGCATACTTAAAGTTATTTTGGAGGGCTATAAGGGCTAGTACTGTGGAGAAGTTTAGAGGTGTAATGGAGCAGATCAAATCTATTGATACTCATGCTTATGATTACCTTATAGACAGAGATCCTACTACCTGGTCTAAGGCATTCTTTCAAGAAGGAAGAGATTGTGATGCTGTAGAGAATGGGGTCAGTGAGAGTTTCAATTCTGCTATTAGGCATGCTAGAAGGAGACCTATAATCACTATGCTGGAGGAGATTAGGTTATTTGTGATGGAAAGGATATACACTCAGAGAGTTGAAGGAATGGAATGAGATTTGCTTATATGCCCAACTATTAGGAAGCGTATAGAAGAGCTGAAGGTTAAACAGAGATAAGTTTTTTTACTTTAATATGCTTATGTTAATTATGCGGATGTGTTATTGATTTATATTTTTTGCTTTAAACAGATTGTGGGGAGTTACTCCTTGTGGTTATCAAAAGTATGAGGTTAGATTCATTGATGTTGCATATGGAGTGGATCTAATTGCAAAGAAGTGTGCCTGTAGAATATGGCAACTTACAGGGATACCATGCTTACATATGGCAGCAATCTCTTACTTAAATCATGATGCAGAGATATATGTGTCCCAAACATACACTACTGAGGCTTACCTAGAATGCTACAAATATAGCATTAATCCTCTCAATAGTAGTGATATGTGGCCAGATGTTCCATACCTTAAGCCTTTGTCTCCCAAAAGAAGAAGATTACCTGGTAGGCTATCAGTGAAAAGGAAGAGGGATGCAATTGAACGAGAGTTAACTAGACCAAGTAGGCAAAATGTCTCAAGAAGGGGAAGCATGATAAAATGTGGTATTTGTAAGGAACCAGGTCACAACAAGAAAAAGTGTCCATCTAACCAGCAAAGCAATACATCAGGTGAATATTTTTAAAAACATTACATCATTTGAACAAATAATTGACATGTTAATTGTTGTTTGCAGTACCAAGTTCATCCAGGGGCAGTGGAGCAGACCCAAGTTTATCCAGGGGCAATGAAGGACCACCACCTACAACCCAACCACCTCCTCCACCACCACCTACAACCCAACCACCACCACCACCTGCAGCCCAACCACCACCACCACCACCTCCTGTAGTCCAACAACCTCCTCCACCACCACCTATAGTCCAACCACCTCCACCACCACCACCTGCAGCCTAACAACCTCCTCTACCACCACCTGCATTCTCCATGCCAAGAAGAAAGGTCCCAGTTAGTAAAAGTGGAAGGAGGAAATATTCTGAACGGATCATCAAACAAGCATTAAGGAGGCAGATACCTGGAGTTGGAAGCAATGCAGATAACCCTTCAGTTATTGATTAATTTAGTGGGTGTGTAGTGGATGGGTAAGAATATCTTTTGTAAGGCAGTTGTGATGTAAAGACAAAGTAGTAGTCTTTTTATCAAGTAGGTGTATGGGCACATGGTGACCCTTCTTTTGTCTATGCAGGAATCTTTTGTGTTACCTAGAAACTAGTTTTGTGTGTGCAGATAAAAACTTATTTAATTTTGAATATTAATGGAGTATTTCAATGAATCCAACCACCACATTCACTTACTTTTTTATTATATGTATTCATTGTTAAATCATATATGTATGATTCCATTCCAATCAAAACTAATTCTTTATATGTATGCTACTTTGTGATTCTATTCCAGTCAAAATCATATATGTATTCATTGTTATATGTATGCTTCTTTATGATTCCATTCCAGTCAAAAATACTTCTTTGTGATTCCATTCCAGTCAAAATTACTTCTTTGTGATTCCATTCCAGTCAAAGTTACTTCATTCCATTCCAACAAGAAGTTGATATAATGGCTCCATTCTTTGTGATTCCATTCCAATGAAAGTTAATATGTATGCAGTTAATATGTATGCTTCTTTATAATTACATTCCAGTCAAAATTACTTCTTTGTGATTCCATTACAATCAATGTTACTTCATTCCATTCCAACAAGAAGTTAAGATAACAACTCTATTCTATTCAAACATCTTTCAATACATCATTTGACTTCATTTCATCATATACACGATGATCAAAAAAAGAAATCCAATGGTAAACTTATATATTTTCTCCTTCATTGCAATGGCATCAGAGTACTTTTCCTTCTTCATTTGTTCCATGTCTTCCTTCACCTTCTCTACTTCGGTCTTCAATGTTAGTAATTCAGCTTTCATTCCTTCCACCACTTCCATTAGAGGCATCTGTACAGGTTCTACATCCAACCATTTCCAATATTTGCATTTACCTTTCCACAATAAAATTTCAAAGTGAGATTTCAAATCTGGAATAAATGAATCAGAAAAGAGGGAAAATTTAAGTGAAATTGCTTACCTCATTGCACACCATGAAATGCCTCCCTGGATTCTTTGGTGTTGTTGATGTTAGAATACGTGCAGGGAACCCACAATCACAAGTTTTTGGATCATTCACTGTGGATTTCTTGCTTGATCGATTGAGGGAGGATGAGAAGCTGTAGGAGGAAGCCATCGGGTATTAGGGCAACGGGGTATTAGGGCACAATAAAGGAACAACAAACGCCCCTCCTTTAATAACAAGAACCCTACATACCACGTAGATCAAACTGACACGTAGGATCAATAAATCCATTGAAACCGGCTAAACCCGGTCATAAGGGGAAAATTAGCACAATTCAACAAGTTTAAGGGTTATTAGAACACGAAAAAAAGTTCAGTGACCAAATGTGATCATATTCAAAAGTATGTTACCCTCTCAAGTCATTATCCCTTTGAAATACTATGTCAAAAGAACCTAGGATGAACCTCACAAAAATAAAATCCATTGGAACCAAGTTTTATAGCAATTTTATAAGTAGCTTAGGTAATCGTATGTTATAGCTCTATATTGCATCTTTATCAAAAAAGTTAAATTTGTCAGAACTCTTATTATGGTTTTGTAAAATTTCATTATATATATATATATATATATATATATATATATATATATATATATATATATATATATATATATATATATGGGGTGCGGTTTGGTTTTTTATGGTTTTTGCAAGACTAAAACTGCACCGCACTGAGCATTTTCGGTTTTTGCGAAACTAAAAATCGCATCATCGGTTTTCATTTCGGTTTCAGTTTATGCGGTTTTTACAGTTTTTTCGGTTTGCGGTTCGGTTTTTTCTCACCCATACATCACATGTTATCCAAAGAGGAATTTTGCCTTTAGTATCAACTAGTTACCCACAATTTAAAGCTTTGGAAAGCCAACGTATGTGATACGAGGAAGACTTTTCTTTTGGAAAAAGAGGTCTCGACTCATTTAACATAAAAACCAAGATCGTTTATGGCATCCGACACAGTACAACTGGTGAAAACCCAAACAATAAGAAGAAATTTGATACACTCTAGGTTTTTAGAACTGACTGATTAAATTAAGAACTGAATGATTACTAGTAAATGTGAAGACATACAAAGATATTCCTCACCAACACTACTAACCGCCTATCTATACCAAGTACTCGCCTAATTGATCTAACAAGATAATGACCTTATTGCCCTTACTAACTAATTGAAGACAACTATTAAACTGGTTCCAACCTTACATATGTCAAACAGATCCCAAACCACAGGGTCAGCTTCAAGCCAAATCATTTCGAGTCAAACCGGTTTCTAATCCCAAACTTTTTTTTTTTTTTGCACCTTTACAAGAACCCACAAACACAAACCTCAAATCAAAATACCCAATTTATGATTCAGATTTCAGAGAGGCGACACTTATAGTACTATAATTAAGAAACCTACAAAAACTAAACCAGGATTACAATACAAATAGAAAAAGCACCTGATCAGGAGAGAAGATTGATGAACCCCTGGAAGGGTAGAAAAGGGGTAATTTGTTGAAGTTGGGATAGAGAGAATGCTTACTGAGATTCCCAATGGTATCATCATTCATCAACATATCTTGGGTAAAAAGATATATGATCCCCTCTCCCTCTGCTATAATAGATTTTTGAACTCTAGTGTATGATTTTAATTGAACCTAACCATAAATTTACTAAATAACAAAGTCAGACCAACCGCTGTGACTCATATATCCTAGATGAACCACCAACAAAATTGATCATCTTATTAGCTGAAAAATCCCAATCAAGTCAGACTCAAGCATGTGCTTTTCAAGCAAATGCTGTGATCTTATCTAGTTATAGAAATTAAAGCATACAGTTCTGCAATTCAAAGATAATTGAATTATTTCCCCCCTACCATGATGAAACAAGCACATAACATAAAGCATCAAAGATTCAAAGTAAGTAACTAATATGTAAAAACAACAAATTCCAATTACATATCTGATTTACCAAAAACAGAAGCTCACATATTTGCCCTAAATTTCACCAAAACGTTAAAAGAAACAAATTGGGAAATTAATGAACATTCAAGATCAAGTAAGTGATCAGGATGTGAAGGCAGTACTAAGTTTTGGTAATTACATGGATATTCATACTAGATATCATACAATTCAACATTCAAAACATACAATTTATTCATACACAACCATATTCGAGTGTTTAAAAGTTATAGGCACTCATCAAACTTACGGAAAATCATCACAGCGACAATCTCAATTGTAGTAGAGTTCGAGGCCCATGCCATCGTGAATCTCGTAGTCCTGGAGAGTGATATGATCCTTGTAGATGTTGTACCACTTCTGGATCCTGATCTTGTCAGCGCGAGTGCCCGTCTGAGCTGCAACGAGCTTCTTCAAGTCGCCGATGGTGTCATCACCGTTACACTTCACGCGAACCTTCTTCCCCAAACGATCGTTCAACACCACCTCGATCATCTTTGTCGTCCTTCGATTTTCTCCTGCAAATTCAATTAGATGTATCGACCGTATCAATGAATTCGAAACCCTAAATTCTAATATCATGACCCTTGTCGTGGACCACACGCAAATCCGAGGCGGCAGATGACTTTAGGTTTACATATTCACCCCTTCAACTTTCAAGCATGTATCAACACGACACCTTAAAATACATAATGTAGATAAAAAGGTCATAACAAAGGACTTCGAGCCCATTTTTTGAAAGCGAATCGGATCGATACCCGAAACAAAAAGTAGGTGGAAAAAAAATGACTACAACACACGTGCACTGCACGCTGGTATGACTGGTCTGCTGATCTGCTCTGCCATTGCCCTTCTACGGTTCTACCTCTTCCCCTCAGCTTCTCCGCCCATTTTTCATCTCTTTCTCCCCCTCTCAAACACACAGACAGAGCATCTGTGATAATGGCAGGTCAGCAACTTATTTTTAATCTCTATTTATATATTCTTGTGTTCATTGTTTGTTTGTTCAATTCTATCTGTGCGGATTTAATCAGGCGTTCACTCAAAGAAAAGGCCGTTTAACTCGATCATACTTGAAATTTTTGATTTTTGTTTGTTCAGTTTATCTGATACGGTAAATTTTTTGGAGAAAATCTATGGGGAATTAACGACTTACCTGTAGGTTTATCGGAATAAAGAAAAATTAATGTTTGATAACAACTTGTTTGTATCTAGACGAGATGATAGATTGTTTAATACACAAATTCAATTAAGAAAGGAGGTTTATGGATACATGCTCTTCGGTATTCATGAAATCGAGTCTTATGTCAATTGAAAGGTATATTCGTATTGAATATATTGAAGTAGATTCACTTGGTTTTCAAGGAGAACGCGAACTTATGGGTGGTGCGATCGTGGTAATTTACATAGTTTAGTCTAGCTACACTATGTGTTTGACATGATCGAATCCATACTCCATAGTTTTGTGTATGAGTAATTATCAGCCCCACTGTTGAAAGTCAAACCAGGATTCTTCATCAGTTCATCTCACAAGACATTATACATTCTTTTTGTCGTTGTAATATATGAGCATCCACAATCCATTAACTCTACAGACTACAAAGTCCAATCGATTGGCACATTAACATTCCACTTTCAATGCAACTTTTTCATTAATTCTCTACAATCCATTGAACTCTACAAACTTCAATGGACTGCCACATCAACATCATATTAAGAATGTGATCCCTTTTTTCCCCATTCAACTCCAAATTCGCTGTATGCCAACTTGGTGTCCCATTATGGTTGGGTTTAATTCATTGTATGCCAACTTGGCATTCCACCAATCCACCTCATTCTGCCCTCCGCCCCTCCCAAATTATACTTCCTTTTTGTTGTTCTTCAGCTCATGTGTCTTCCTTCTTCCCTTTATACTCTCTAAAGTTCTTAAACAGTACATTATAGATTGTGTATGAGAAAGCACACAAAGTCTTTTAAAGGGCAATTGTTCATGTTTAATGTCTTGTACTCTTGTTGCAACTGAGAGTAAGAGTATCCAGACGATGTCCCTTGTGTGTACCCTCATTAACCCTAAAAGGAAAGTGAGAAAAACACTTGCCATTAGATCTTTAACTTTCCTTCATGGCATTATCGGTAGTGAATTTCAATTTAAACTATCTGTTCTGTAAACTTGGGTCCAAAACTTACAGAGCCTTATATTTGGTGGCATCTTAGAGGTTCAATTCGGTAAAGCAATGTAATTTGTGAAAATACACAAATACGGGCACTTAAAAACTTTGGTTTTTTCATTTGAAATCTTCTTAATCTGAAATTTGATAAAACTCCAAATCTTTTATGCAGTTATGATGGGGAAAATTGTTCAAAATTTACCAAGTGCACATTCCTGCCAGCAGAATAGGCAGTTCTGCACCCTATATCAAAGGGAGGGATGTGTCCAATATAAACACAACTTGCTTCTCTTTCAAGGAAGGAAGTTGCCATGGACACGCATCTCAACCATGCATTTGCGTAATGTGTCAAACAATAAACAACGACTTGTTTACTGCAATGGTCTGTTCTAGACTCTTATCATCCAGGATGATATCAAATACAACCAAAAGTATAAGGCCCTTTAAGATTCTCAACATAACCCACATCCTAATATATAGTATATGTGTTGGCCTTTCTGCTTTCTATATTTCATTTCATTTATAAAAAGGTGTATCTTTAGTGGTATAAAAAAGATCCATTCATATAGAAAACATTGCATTTGGAGTTGTTATGAAAAGGGTGTATTTTTAGCTGTTTTGATGTGCTTTTTAGCTTTTAGCTTTTTTTTTTAATACATGAAGTTATTGTTTCTAATCGACTTCTTTTTCAGCTTCTCTTTCAGCTACTGCAGTACCATCACTTGAAAAAGTAGATTTTCTCAAACTTCAAAATGGCAGGTAAGCTTTTCCTTCTTGAAGTTTCGGTATGTCAAACAAATTCGGTAACTTATCTGTATATTGGTAAACTATTATAATCTACATACATACATACATACGCCTAAATGCAGTGATATTCGTGGTGTTGCTGTTGATGGTGTTGCTGGAGAACCCCTTAACCTCACAGAGCCAGTAACACAAGCCATAGCAGCTGCTTTTGCTGGATGGCTTTTAGATAAGAAAAAAGCTGATTCATCTAAACATCTCAAAATCTCAATTGGCCATGATTCTAGAATTTCTGCACAAAAGCTACAGGTATTAACTTTTGTGGATAGTATCTAATTCCCTATTGACACCATGAAACCATATATCAACCTAAGGTTTTTTCCAGGATGCAGCTTCTCGGGGAATTGCTAGTGTAGGCTTTGATGTTGTGCAATATGGGTAATGTAGTTTTAATCATTTCTTCATTTATTTTGATTATTTTCTTTTTGTGTGTTATGATCTGCTTAATTATTTTCAATGATGTTTATGTAGATTAGCATCTACTCCAGCAATGTTCAATAGTACACTGACAAAAAATGAAGACTTTCTATGTCCAGTTGATGGAGCTATCATGATAACAGCAAGCCATCTTCCTTATAATAGAAATGGTTTTAAATTCTTCACTAATGAAGGAGGCCTTGGAAAACCCGACATTAAAGACATCCTAGATCGTGCTGCAAACATATACAATGGATTTACACCAGAATCTCTAGAAGAGGCAGAAAGAAAAGTTTCATCTTCCATCACTAAAGTCGACTACATGGCTATTTACGCATCTAACCTTGTAACAGCTGTTCGCAAAGCTTCAGGAAACATAGGTATATGTGAAGAACTGAAGATTACTTTTTTTTTTTCTCTCATGCTTCTTTTCTTACTTGGATATGGATTACAGAAAAGCCATTGGAAGGATTTCATATAGTTGTGGATGCTGGGAATGGAGCTGGTGGCTTTTTTGCTGTATGTTATCTTTTAAGAATGATATATAAAACATGAGGTAAAGTGAAGATTACTTTTCACATCTTATTTGTTTTTCAGGGAAATGTGTTGGAGCCTTTAGGTGCTATTACTACTGGGAGTCAGTTTCTAGAACCAGATGGTAATAAAGTAACAGAATCAAAACTAATTTAAGCAGGTTTTTGTATTTAACCAACTTAAGTAAAAGTAAACCTGACCAATTTTCAGGGTTATTTCCCAATCATATCCCTAACCCCGAGGACAAGGCAGCAATGAAGGCAATTACTCAAGCTGTGCTTGATAACAAAGCCGATTTAGGGATCATCTTTGACACTGATGTTGATAGGTGATCTTCTAATATTAAATTTTTTTCCTTTAGTTATAAAATTGAATTTGGGCAATTATGTCAAATTACGGAGTGTGAATCAGATCTGCTGCTGTGGATTCCACTGGTCGTGAGTTTAACCGGAATCGTCTAATTGCTTTGATGTCTGCTATTGTTTTAGAAGAAGTAAGTTTCTAGAAGTTTCCCTAAAACTGTTGATGGCCATGATTTTGAGCTAGTTACTGTTTTTTTTTTTTTTTGCCCTGCTAGCACCCTGGAACAACAATTGTCACAGACAGTGTTACTTCAGATGGGCTTACTGTATTCATTGAGAAGAAACTAGGTAAGAAGAGCCTTTACATCAGTGATTCTATTTTTTATTAAATCATATTCTACTTGTTTGATAGTTGCCAAATGCTCACAGGAGGGAAGCACCATCGGTTCAAAAGAGGGTATAAAAATGTCATTGATGAAGGCATTCGTTTGGTGAGAAGTTAATTAATTTTTTACATTAATTATCAGACACAATAATGATATTTTTTCACAGAATTCTGTTGGTGAGGAGTCACATTTGGCCATTGAGACAAGTGGCCATGGAGCACTCAAGGAGAATCACTGGCTTGATGATGGTGCATATCTCATGGTATGTATGTGTGTGTGAAGATCTGTATATTTAATAGTGTTGGTTGACTTTCTTGACTTTATTTGCAGGTGAAGCTATTGAACAAACTTGCATCAGCTAGAGCTTCGGGTCAAACTGGTGGAAGCAAAGTTTTGACTGATTTGGTTGAGGAACTACAGGAACCGGGTGTTGCTGTTGAGCTTAGATTAAAAATCGATCAAAATCATGCAGATTTGAAAGGAGGGTATGTTGATTGTTGAATGTAGATTTACTTGGTGCTTAGTGACTGTTATATTTATATATGTGTCATGAGGTCTGAATGTATTCAGAGGTTGTGGTGTTTTTACAGATCTTTTCAAGACTATGGAAACGCAGTCCTAAAGCATTTAACAAACAAAATTGAATCAGATCCCAAGCTTGAAAAAGCACCTGTTAACCATGAAGGGGTACGGGTGTCTGGATATGGTGGCTGGTTCCTTCTCAGACTTTCACTCCATGACCCTGTTTTGCCCCTCAACATCGAGGTAAATCAAACTTTTTAAATTAAATTGTAAAAAAATAAATAAATAAACATAAATGAAATTTGTAGGCCCCGAGCAATGAGGATGCTATAAAACTCGGACTAGCAGTGGTTGCAGCTGTAAATGAGTTCTCAGGTCTTGATATATCAGCCTTGACCAAATTTGTACAGAAGTAATCAGGCTCAAAGGTGTATTTGTTTTTTTTTTTTTTTTAATATAAAAACTTTTCTGTATTAATAATAAGTAGTTTCAAGTCTCTGAAAACTGCGACTTATAGCGATTCTTGAAAGTTGTAAAATTAACAACAGAATGACACCTAATATTTACAAGAAAGGCGTGGGTGAAAGTTTTGAAGCGATTTGTATCAATGATTGATCATGCTTATTGTTGCCAGTATTTGTAGAATGTGTGATTTTGTTTTATTTCCCTCATAAACTGAAAAAGGTCAGGTTATGCTCTACATGTCAACATAATAAGCACATATGATTTGTAGGATTTAGAAAATCACAAGGCTTGTTTCTCATCTTGCATTGTGTTTACCAACATTAGATTACCTCCTTCATACTGTACAATCTTGTAAAGCATAAATTATTGATTGTGTATAGTAAAAGGTTGTGCTGTATTCAGATTGGACACACCCACATATCCATCGACCAACCCATCCACATCCTCCCTCACTTCTACACACACACCTTACACCCACCTACATGCATATGTGCATGCTGATGCCTACACCTATATGCTCGTACACAAACATACATGTTTTCATTTTCTTTTTTCAACTCTTTAAATCTGCACCAAACTCATAAGTGGTCCCATATCTAAACCTAAAACAATATATCTATTAATTGTTTTCATCAAGTGCACTTATATATTTTCGTTTTCTAAATTCATCTTTTTGTTATATATATTACATGCAAGTTCAATAAAAAAAAAAAAAAAAAAAAAAAAAAAAAAAAAAAAAAACATAGTTTTGAGCGGGTAAAAGTCTAATAAATGAAAATTTTAATTAAATGAAAGTTTATCATTTTTATTAAAAATAATAATAAGTTACAAAAAATACTAAAAATGTATTTTTGTGATGTTACATAATTTTTTTTTAATTCTTTTGACGCAAACCAAACAAAAAACAAATTTCATTCCATGACAAACAAATGTATTTTATATTCGAGTTCATTACATATTCCAATTCCTTTAGGTTCTAATTTCTTTTCCAAAACATTATGCCAAACAGACACCTCCTTAGAACAAATTTTTTGACATGGTTTGTGTGGTTTCATCTAACCGTAACGAGCTCCAGACGAACAAATAGATCGGGGCGACTTGAACTTCTTCTCATGATAAATGCCTTGTTTGGTTCTTTTAAGTTAAAAGAGTGTGAGAACTTTATTTTAAAAAACCTAGAAACATCATCTTTCATTTTTCTCTCTTGCTTAATCATCATATAGCTCCAAATATTTTTATTTGTCCAATTCATTTGCATTCTATACATTATAATTAGTAGTGGATCTCTCGGGTATTCTATGCACATGTTTTTTTCCCGATTTAAGTTTTTCACATATACCTTAGTGTGTTTGTCTCTAATCTTTATTATTTTACTTATTATTTGTTAACTCTCCTTATATATCAATGTTTACATTTAACTGGAGGTGTTATTCACTTATTCTACGATTATAAGAAAATTTGGATTGATTGGGATAATCTCATTTACCTAATGACATTTTGCAAAATGTTTTAAATGAAATTAGTGCAGCAGATATTTGGTTGAAGTTTAGAGAAATTGTGTATGACCAAGCATCTCTCAAACAAGTTGCATTTGAAGCAGCCTTCTAAAATGGAACTCAATTCACACATTAACACTAACAAAACACTTCACCAATCGATCACACGAACATCATGAAGGTAAATAATAATGTTCTCATAGCAAAAAGATGCCTAGACCCCACTTATGATTCTCACTTCTTTACCACTGCAAGCAATATGCCACTCAAGCTTAGCATGTGATTGATAATCTACTTCTAAAAACATCACAAGAAAAAGAAACCGAAACTTTAATTTACCTTACAAAGAACAAACAAGTACACTACCTATAACAATATACAATTACATTTCATGTATAAACAAATAAACAGTTACTAAGACCCCTAACATACCATTATGACTCCCTCCCTTTATCACTTGTACCTTTTGCAATACTACTTGTACCTAACAATTGGTTCGGTTTTTCTCAAGGAGCTTCATCATGAAATTAAACTGCATATCCGGTGAGGTCCTGGGCTGGGGCCATTTAGCTCCTTCGGGTATTTTAATATCCTTAAAACCCTGACTTCTATACAAATTAGTGGCACCAGGGTTATTTAGGTCACAATGCAATGCGATTGACCTACACCCCCAACTTCTAGCTTGAGCCTCTGCTTTTGCTATAAGCCTTTTCGCTATTCCCTTTCTTCTAAACCTTTCTCTCACAGCAACATTCGACACATACGCAATTCCAGTCCTGCAAATATGAAAACGTGTACGATTACCCCCTTATAGTTTGACGACTTTGACAAGAAAAGTCAAAATGATCACCTTCTCTGACGAAGAGGACCTTTCCTAGGAAGAAAGTCAGCGACAGTGTCTAGAGTCAAAATTCCAGCAACATATCCTTTATTGAGACTAATCTTTGCACCAAAACCTGCAATTTTGAGATCTTCGTCACCAATAAAGAAAGTGTTGTTGTCGTCGTCTTGGGAAGTGGAGGTGACAGCAACAAGACATGTTCGTCTACAACCAGTGGGTACTGACAATCCAAAAACCAGTGCAAGGAGTCTGTCGATCCTCAAAACAAAGTCTAATGGGAATGAGTATTCAGGGAAGAAGGAGCTACAATGCGTTTCTGCAACCTCCCAACAGTCTTCGATTCTTGCCTCACGCACCACAATTTCAGGGGATACAATTGGAAATATTTCAACCACTTGACTCGCTTTGCAAATCCCTATCGAGTCTAGAAAGAAATTTATACAAACGTTTCTAGTGAGAAACAATGAAAGCTAAAGAAGTTAGAGAGTCGGACTTTGATATTTGATGTCAAATCGAAAACTTTTTAACAAAAGATTGATTTTTTTTATTTTCTAAATGTGGTAAAGTTGATATTTTTCTTGAAGGATGTTGCAAAATAAATGCAACATTTTCGTTTTTGGTAAGGCTGCAATCCAAGATCAATTCTACGCCCATTGGTTCATCAAGATCAAGCTCTTTACACCCTTAGCATGAACCAATTGTTCCTTCAGTTTAACTTAATTACAAAACGATTAAACATCTGAAAAAAGTTCAAGCTCACCCATAATTGTTGGTTCTTGAAAATCCTAAAGTCTGATCAATAAAGACAAGGTTTCAGATACAGTAGAAAGATATATAACACTCAGAACATCGAAGATTGTGTTAATAAACCACAAAAGGCATAAACTAAACCCAATTCCCATTTAATCCAAACCAAAAATGGCACAATTAAGATGCCACCAACACTGTATCATTAAGCTGAATTGGAGTCGTAAACACCAACAGACAGATTTTTAATCAGAAAGACAAAATTTATAGTATTTCCACCAAAATAATAATAATAATAATAATAATAATAATAATAATGAAACTCCAGATCAAAATACCTCATAAGATTATGCAGCTATAGATACAGATATTTATATGTATAGGTAAGAAAAAGTACCTGATCTGGAGAGATGAGAAGGGATAGACGATTGATGAACCCTGGAAGGGTAGAAAGGAGGTAATTTGTTGAAGTTGGGAGAGAGGGTGTTTACTGAAATCCCCAAAGGTATCGTCCACATATCTTGGGTAAAAAGATATAGATCCCCTCCCTCCCTCTGGCGCAGATTTTGAACCCTGGCGAGTGATTTTTTAGCTGAATCGAAAAAAGAAGAAGAAATTTAAGAGCTTAGAATTCGTTGCTATCAGACAACATTCGGTAGTCTCATAATTCACTCAACGCAGACTGATTGATTGTTTGTGGGTGTTCTTTGTTTCTATCGGACTGATTGGCATCAAGGTGGCGATTGGGTCGGGTCGGTGGGTCACCCAAACCATATTAGGCAACCTATTAATAACCTTTATTTGCTTATTTTGTAATCTTTCCTACCTACAATTACGAATGATAAGGGTGTGACATCTTTCGCCTAGGGTGAGTTCGATTCCGAAATTGAATCAAACTAGTATTGATCCCATAAAATCCAATATGGTCAAAAGTAAGAACCGAATACGGAACCAACCAAAATATAAGACATAATAATGATATTGTTTTCATTGAGAAAGTAGGTTTAGTTTAAACTTAGAATTGGTATTGAACTCAAACCGAATAAGGCCAAAAGTAAGAGCCGAATACCATACTGAAGTATAGGTATCGATTTGATTGATTTGCATAGAAATGTTCATCTTTCACCAATCACCCCAAAGAGTATCGTGATTTATTTGTAGACATTTTTGAAGGGATGGAAGTTTGTTTTCATTAAAAGAACATATCACTCGATCCGGTATAATCTAATCTAATTTTGTAATATATATCAAAGGTATATTAATTTTTCTAGTTTTTCTATGAATCATTGCCGATAAATGGTTTCAAACAATACCCCAACATATTTTGAGGACACCTTGAACATAATGATTGACCTTCATCTTGTATAATCAACGACATTCCTTGTTGATTATTGTGCTGTCTTAAACATTTATCGTTTATCATCATTTGGCTATGCAAATATTTTCACAAAAGGAGCTTTATTCCGGGTATTATTATGTCACCAAGATAATACCCATGCTTGTATTATACTCCATTAACACGAAATTGATATTTGGGTACTGTTTCATTTAGTACATTGGTCACTAACGACGATTGGTTAAGGAAGTTGATGTCGTTTTTGGAACCAGGAACACCAAAAAATGCATGCAAAAACCATAGATTTTACGAATCTACCTCTTCGATTTTAATGTTAAGTTCTTGTAGACATCTTCAAATATGCATCACAAGCATCTGGAGCCGTCTCGTATGCAAGTTAACGTATTGCATGTATGTAATGGAGTAAAAGACATTTTGCCTGATAATTTAAAATATGAATATTGTCTTTATCCATATCATAAACAATTCGTAAGAATATTTCTTTGCATCCATAACCTCATTCTAAATATGTCAGCGCCATAAAGGGATTTCTTAGCGAACTTAATATTCGACGAGATGATCATCTGATGCTTCATGATTTCTGTCTACATAAAATTTTGTATTTATTAGCCCGTTTGACCTTGCAGTATCACCAAAGAGAATGAAAAAAGGTTAACGTCACGTGGAAGACTCATCGTCATAGCTTGATAATAAAAAAAAAATCGAAACTAGATGATTGTGAATCCATTTCACAATTGTAGATGTAGAAAATGAGAATGTTTAAAAGGTAATGTGGTGCCAAAAAAAAAAACATATGGAAACCCAAAACAGACGATATTAATATATAGCTTATACCTTTGTACCTTTCAAACGCAAGTCCAACACAAGTAGACAATAAATCCGAGTACCAAATTGTAAAATTATACAACAATTTTGTTTCCAAGATTCTACCCACAACTTCCTTCCAAAACCCACAACAACCACCATCTTTCCAACCTACTAACCATTAAACAAACCCCACCCCAAAAATACGACTCCAAGAGGCCAACGGCAACAACCTCCTTTGTCTCTCATCAGTAAAATCTCTATCCAGTTTCCACCACCAAAATATATTATATATATATAAATCAACCGTAGCCATAATAGATTTTGCAAAACAAAAGCCTCGTTTTCACCTCACATCAAACATTCAAACGTGCAACTCCTTCAACTTCTCTTCCACTTTCACTTGTTCAAATTTACCCTCTTCTTCCTTTTGTGTCACACTCACACATATTGCTGAGGTGGAAATCGGCTTCGGCTTTGAATCTTCAGGAGTAGGAGTTGCATGCCCTTTCTCCGGCATCGAGGTGACAGGGGGTTTAGCGATGTTGGGGGAAGAATAAACCGGCACCGCCTGTCTTATGGTCACCGGAGGTGCTACACCACCGCACATTGGCGGCATCCCCCTGAACTGCGGCGGAAGCTGATTACCCTGCGGTATACCAATATGCGGTGGTGGAACAGGAAGCGGAGGAGCGGAGAACACCGGAATTGCATTCCGTATGGTGACCGGTGGTGCGATCCCCCGGAAGTGGCGCACGGGGATATACGGTGCAGCTCCGACCGCAGGAAACTTGTGGGGTCGGGGAGACTGCTTTTCGTTTCTGTTGGTGTTTTGAGGCGGTGTTTTGTTGGATGCTTCATCGTTATCTAACAATGTGGTGAGATGGGGCCTACTTCGAGGGGTTGTTTTTGGACATATTAAAGGAAGTATTTTTGATGTTGTGGATGGTGGTGACTGTGAAGTGTTTGGCTTTGGATTTGGTGATGGAAACTGGATAGGAAAGGGTATATTCGACATTCTTGCCTTTAATCTGAATTTCTGTAAAGCACGAGCTACAATCACATGCTCCTGCTCCTCCAGCATCCCTTTTTGCATCGGTGAACTTTCTGTTTGCTGAGTCACTGAACATTAGATGATAAAACGTAAGTAGATCTTTTTCATAAACCCATTTTCTTTATATATATATAATGATTATGTGGCTTACAAAGTTTGAGAGATGACCAAGCTGACATGGCAGCATTCTTTTCAGCTTGTTTCTTATTCTTGGCTGGTTCACCTGTAAATGTACAGCCAGCTAATTCTACAGTGCATGTGAACACAGGTAAATGCCCAAGGCCTGACCTAAAAGTTGTATATGTTGGTAATGATGCCCCTACTCTTTGTGAAACCTCTTGCAAAAGGTTCTTGTACACCCCTGTCTCATCCTGTATCATGTACATTACAAGATCAGTGCCAAATACAATGTTTAAACTTTAAAGGTGTTAGAAACTAGAATCAATACTCGATCTTCTCTTATATCATGTCAAGTGTCAATCCAATTAACTTGCATTGAAATCTTATTGTACACAAGAAAAAGGGAATAAGCATTTCAAATCATACTTGACACATATCCTTCATATCAACTAAACATTGAATGCAACTCTCTCCGAAATCCCCATTGCATACAACAATGTTCTACATGTCCTCATAATGGCCTAGGTAATTGAATAATAGATGTAAAAATTCCTCCATCTGATGAAACCCTAGAGCCTACAAATTAAGCTGTATGAATTGAGATTACATTTTCTTCACTTACGCGGACTTCCTATACATTTATTAAATTGTTATAGCAATTGAATTTCAAAGACATGCTACATCAAGCAAATAGTCTTCTAAAAAAACATGAATTAAGAAAACGGAAGTTAAAATACCCATTTCTGAAGGTTAAACCTTACAAACCCTAAAAAAACAAAAGACTCACCAGTATTCGAGCAGCCAAAGAATTAGACGGACCACGGCTAGCGAGTGCATTTAAAGCCACCTCAGCGGCCGAGTGCTCAGCCTGCCTCAACGTGGTGCAGTAGTTAGGGCTCTCATACGTCTCGCCGTTAAAGTTAACAGTGGCCTTGAACCGTGGCGCGTGATCTGGACCTTCTCTTATACTTATGTACGACGGCAAATTAAAGCAGCTCCTCTGCGCCAGCTCCTGCAGCTGGTTCTTATACATCTCTCTATCTCGAATCGATGAATAAAAAACCTCGAGACTCCAGTCCAATTATCGCAGATCAAAGCGCCGATCGATAATGTCGATCATCGATTTCGATTCCAACTTTGTCCGATCGCAATCGAGGGTCTTCTAGGGTTTTGATTTTGCTAGCACCGCGTGTATATACATTTATCTGTATGTATATGTGTTGAGATATAGATATAGAGAGAGAAAGTCTAGAGAGATGGAGATTTTACAAACTTAGATAACAACGAACTAATGAGAGAGAGAGGTAGAGAAAAGTACAGTATGTAGCGAAAGTTTTGTTTAGGAAGCGGTCGCCCTCATGATAAGATATGTACCCGACCGATTCTTAGACGTTGGATTAATCACGTTTGAGGATTGATGTATGTAATTTTGAGACCTTAATTTTGATTATGGTGAGGGTCGTGCGTCAGATACCCTCCCCCTTCGTCATTGTTGTTAATTAATACAGTCACTTGTATTTTGGTTGTTTTAACTTTTAATAAAAAATGAAATTTTCTAAAGTTAAATGATCCTAATATCTAACAATTGTTACGTTATTTCAGCAATTTTTGCTGGTATTTTTTTTTATAGGAAATTACTAATCTAGCCTAATTAAGTAATTATTTAATCATTCTTAGCTAAAAATTAGCTAATTATTTAAAAATAACCCATGAAACCGTTGGTAATTAGAGTGGGTTACTATTTTGCCAAATGATCTACTATTTCGGGTTAAGTATATTTTTTCCATTTTAAACATCTAAAACCGTGGTTAATTTAGAATCTTCAGTATTCTCTCGAAAAGTTATGGTTTCTCAAACCGTAGCTTATGATTTTTGGTTAAACTCTACGGTTTGAATTTTTTTTTTCTTTTTTAAAAAATAAACGGAGAGTATTTTTTTTAAGAATTATTTTGATAACAAATACTGTTTGTAAAATGTAGAGTGGTTTTTTTATTGTTTATAACTTTTTTTTTTGAAAAAACAAGGGAAAAAAAACGTAGATTTAAGGAAACCTACAATGTACACCTTTTTAATGCACAAACTATTCATTAATTGATTATACACCGAAGGTTACCAAAAAACCTACGGTTTCGTTAATTTTTTTGAGTTTTTCAAAAAAAAAAAATATTGGAATCATAATATAGATATAATTGGTTACAATTAACAAGATTAAAAAAAACGAAAAAGTAAAATAAAATCCGTAGGTTTCGTATGAAGGTTACGGTTTTATTTTATTTTTTCGGTTTTTTTTTAAAGTTATCCTTATATACAAAAATTACTCCTAATCAAGAATACGGTAAAATTTTGATAAAAAAATAGATGTACATAGTTGTTCTTCGAGTGTTCCATTGAAAAAAAAAATAGTAGGCAAACCAAGGAATAAATACCAAAAAGTAACCTAATCTGAAAAATTATACATTATATAATATGGACCAATGGACCATGAAAGAGTAGACGGGCCGGGAAACAACAATTCATTGCCCTAAAACAATAGATTACCTCCATTTTACCGTAGTCAATTCTCGTTGACCGTAATAAACTCTAGCCATCTACTCTTTCGGGGACCATTTTTGGCTAAAGTTTTTTTTTTTTTTTTGCTATCTTTTGATAGGTAATTAGGGAAAATGGCTAGATTAGTATTTCCCTCCTTTTTTTATTGTTTTAAAAAGTTTTTACCTTTTGAAAAATGAGTTTTCTTTTAATATTTCTTTCTAATTTTTTTATTATTTTTAACTTTTTAGTTTTCAATTGAAAATAGTCGTCAATCTAATGGTAAGAAGTGGCTATTTCATTTGAGAGATCATGTGTTTAATTATCGCTTGAGATTTTAGTGGTGATAGGGAAAAGTAGATTTTTCATTTCATAAAAAACTAAAAGCTTGAATTAGTAATCTTTAGTAAAAAATAATTCATAAAAAACTAAAAGCTTGAATTAGTAATCTTTAGTAAAAAATAATTTATAAGTTAGATTGTAATAAAAAAAAATCATAACTATACATTTACATATATAATTAAAAAAAAGAATTTATATAATTAAAACAAACTTAAAATATTTATAAAAAAACTTCATCGGCTTATTAAAACCTTTTTAAAAATAATTTATTAAAAACTACCTTATACATAACTTTACAAGCTAAAAGCTAAAATAAGTTACACGGTTTTACAGCAAATTAAAATAGGGAAAATATCACTATAACCACACGAACTTACATATTTTGGTTTAAAATGTCCCTTATGTTATTTTTTGGCTTAACAAGGCCATGAATTCACATTTTACTGACTAATTAGGGATTTTGACCCAATTCAACCGGTTTCCTTGCCTAGTCATCACCCAACTCATTTAGAGAGTCAAATCACCCAACTCAAATGACACGTCACCGACTCACGAACGAGTTGGCTTGCTTGGGCCCTAAGGGTTCAGTGGTCCCCTAGTATATAATAGAAGGGTCTGCTGGACAAAACCCTAAATTCTTGTTACCATTTCCGGCCAAACACTAAACGACAACCATTCGACAATACTCCTTTTTCCCTTCACCGTCTTCCATGGATCCTACCCCACCACCATCACCAGATACTATAAACTCCAAAAACTCCATAAGCTCAATAGACAGGCTTAACTTGAATGATTTGCACACGATCTTCTGTGACTATGGTAAAAAGATAGTTGAGCAACAAGGTCAAGTCGAGTGTATGAAGGGGGAGATGGGTCGAGATTACCTTCATTTCAGGGTGGATGTCCTCAACATGCCGCAAAGGTCCGACCATGTTGAGAAGTAGATTAAAATGATTGCTATGTTGGTTGTGGGTGTTGTCGTCGCCATGTTCCTGGACATGATTTTCATCATTCACTTGATAATCAGCAAGTGAATCTCATGGACATAGGTTGTGGTGGTATGCTAATCTAGTGCTCGTAGTATACTGTTAGGTTTAATGGTGTTTCTTGTTTTATATATATATATATATATATATATGTGTGTGTGTGTGTGTGTGTGTGTGTGTTATTATGATTATGTGTATTTCGTTTGTGTAGGTAGTGGTGCTCCAGTGGTGGTTGTAATGGTAATGTTTGGATGTATTTTGAATTCCTGGTTACCTGTAATAGGCATTTTGTAAATTAAAATACATATCTGATAAAATCAGACATGAATGGCTTATAATTTCTTGAGTTCATTGGTGTTGTTTTAGGCTAACTTTCGATGGATCCATGAACATGATAAGCAGTAGAAAAGATTATGAATATGTTGTTGTTTGGTAAATATTAATACCTGTATGTACTTTGTTTGCCTTAGTTAATGGTAATTAAGTGTGTGTGGTGCATCAACTATGACAGATGTGCGTGAGGTCAAATAAATGGGTATTTTCATCATTTCCTTTTTATAAGTACTTTACTTCCTTACTCAACAACGAAGCGGACATACATCCCTCTCTTTTTCCCTGTGATTTTTTGGTTTTGGAATTAAGGATCCCTTGTAATTAATGAAGTGAAAATGATGAAATGCTCGTGTGGATGTGTCGCCATAATAAGAATATCTTCCACTCCGTCCAACCTTGGAAGACCCTTTTATGCTTGCCCTATTAAGTATTATTTTAACACCCCGTTAGCTGCCGCTGTTGCCACCAGTGTTTCTTCTGTCATCACCAAATGCCACCAGGTGGGTGGCTAGGTCCATTTTGCAAACAAAAAATTTGTATGTGTGTGTATTTCTGGTATGAGTATGTGTTGTGTGTGGGGTTGTTTAGTCAGAATTCGTGAGAAAAGCCACCACCACCACTATAAGGTGGCTGCCACCTTGTACCACTGCTGGCCACCACAAGGTTGGATGTGTATTTATCTTTATCTTATTGTGTGTGTGTTTATTTTGGGATATTGCGTTGTATAATTGTAATAGGTGACGGAATAATCAAGAAATTCATAACCATCACCGTGAGGTGGTGGTTGCCGCCACCAGTCGCTGTGTTGGGTGGTAGTGTGCTCTTGTGTATGTTTAGATTTCGTTTGGGAAGCTTGGACATGATTATACTAGAACCATAACAACCAGTGTGATGTGGTGGCTACCGTCGGGTGCCACTGTTGACCACCACCACCCGAGGTGGCAGTGGGTGGTGCTCAACTTAATGAAACCCTAGTTGACCTAAGGAAACCCTAGTCGACCTAATAAAACATTAATCCACCTAAAAATTTAACCATTGGACTAATTGGGTTGTGATTGGGTTGGAAACCCTAATTTTGGAAAATAGTAGCGTTGGGTTGTCGGCAACCGCGTTTGGACTGTTAGATTGGAACTTTGAATTATGCCCGACAATATCATATGAATAGCCTATAGGAGTGATAGACTTAATGGATTAAGTCCTTAATAGGTTAAGTAAGAAACACTTAACTCTAATCGTCATTTTATGTGAAAACCCTAATATTGCTTGGGCCTTGAGTTGGGCCTTTCTATTGGGCTTTGGTGATTGGGTTATTGATGGGCCATCCAAGAACAAGCATATAGACTAGAATATTTTGATGAGCTTTAGTGTAAGGCACATGTGATGGGTTTGGGCCCAATTTGGAAAATTGGACCATAGATGGGCAATAATTTGGCCTTGATGATTATGAGATATTGGACCATTAGAATGCTAAATTTTTGGACTGGAATAAATGGTTGGGGCTTGGGGTAAGACCATGTAAGGGTTTGGGTCCAATTTGGAAAATTGGGCCATATGTTGGGCTTGGGTTCATAGTTTGACTTTTATGAGGGATTCTACTCAAGGGATTATCTTAGCCTTGGCCACGTATAAATGATTTGTAGGGATAATGAGGTATGTGATTCTGTTTTCCAGTGGGAACCTCCAGTTATCAAAAGTTGAATAGTTAGTTGAGAGATAAGTGGATGGGATTCAACAATAATGATGCTATATGGGCGATCTGTCAGGGAGTCAGACCATCTCGAGGCTACAGATTTCAGACGGAGTAGATGTGATCATGTTGCAAGGAATCCGTTCATCTTCGGGATTTAGAACCCTATGAGGAATGGTTTCAGTTGCCTTAGAAATGCTACGGTATGCTTGTGGTTATGGTTGTGTTGCACAAGTTGTTTGGCGTGTCAGGAGTGGTAAGGAATGATTTCGAGGACGAAATCTAATTTAAGTGGGGGGAGAGTTGTAGCACCCTGTTTCCAAGATAAACCCTAAAATCCGAAGATGCGTTTTAAGTATTATTTTATTCCGATATATGAATATGTTTAAATAAAGAGTTTAGTGAAAAAGTGTGTAATTAGCATTATAACTTATTTTGGAGGTCTAAAGAATACTTTCGAGATTTGTAGTGGAAAAATATTTGATCATATGGCTAAAGGATAATCAATTGGGCTCGTTTTGTTGTTTGTGGACTTATACTGAAAATATTTCGTAGAGGAGGGGCTATTTGGGTAAATTTGGATTTAATTTGAAAGAAAAAAGAGAAGGAATGGTTGAACATGTCATAATTGAGATTTTGGGGGTTAAAAAGGTAAATTATGGATTAGTTTTGCAAAAGATTCTCCAAACGGAGGGGTGTTTGGTAAGTATTGGACCTAAATTGAAATGAATCTGGAATGCTGATGGCTAAAAGGGTAAATTACGGCCTTCATTTGAAAATAATTAGGATGGAGGGCTGGTAATGTAAATATGGGGAAGTTGTTCATGGAGACGGGGTATATAACCCGTCACCCCCATCCAAACCCTAACCCTAGCAATGTTTACGCCGCCACCACATCTGGGTTCATCAGCCGCCACCTTCACTTCTTCGACTTCCGGTGCCGCACCACTATCACTGTTGAGGTCGCCAACCATCGAAGCCACCACCTCGAACCTGCTGCTGGTGAAACCACCGATCGATGCTACCTCACTGTCGACGAAGGCAATCATCGTGCTTGTCAGGAAGAAGTGGTTGAAAGAAGAACCACAACGTCACTGCCGTTGTTCCTGTCGGAGACTGTGTGCCTTCCTCGTCTCCATCTCTTGTTGTCGGTGCACCGCTGCCGCCGCCACCTCCCCCGCCATAATCACTCCTCCTCCATCTTCTGGCCGTCTTCGCTTCGTCAGTACTACGTCTCAGCTCCGTTTGCGTCGCCACTAACCGTTCCTGTTGAAGACAAAGTTGTCGTCGGACGCTAGGCTTTTGTTGCTGTTGTGAAACACCGTCAGTCGCCGCTGTTGCTACCAGTGTTGCTGTTGCCGTCACCAAACACGACCAAGTGGATGGATAGGTCCATTTTGCAAACAAAAAATGTGTATGTGTATTTCTGCTATGATTATGTGTTGTGTGTGGGTTTTTTTGGTCGGAATTCGCGAGAAAGGCCACTACCACCACCGTGAGGTGGTGGCTGCCACCTTGTACCACCACCGGCCACCACAAGGGTGGTTGTGTGTGCGTGTATGTGTTTAACTTATTGTGTGTGTGTTTATTTTGGGATATTGCATTGTATAATTGTAATGGGTGACGGAATAATCAATAAATTCATAACCACCACTGTGAGGTGGTGGTTGCCACCTTCTACCGATACCAGTCACCGTGTTGGGTGGCGGTGTGCTCTTGCTTGTGTTTAGGTTTCGTTTGGGATACTTGGACATGATTGGACTAGAAGCATGACCACCACCGTGAGGTGGTGGCTATGCCGGGTGTCGCGTCGACCACCACCCCCCGAGGTGGCAATAGGTGGTGCTCGACCTAATGAAACCCTAATTGACCTAAGGAAACCCTAGTCGACCTAATAAAACATTAATCAACCTTAAAATCTAACCATTGGACTAATTGGGTTGTGATTGGGTTGGAAAACCTAATTAGGGTTTAGAAAACCCTAATTTTGAAAAATATTAGCATTGGATTGTCGGGACATGCGTTTGGACTGTTAGATTGGAATTTTGAATTGTGCCCAACAATATCGTATGAATGGCCTAGAGGAGTGATGGACTTAATGGATTAAGTCCTTAATGGTTTAAGTAAGAAACACTTAACCCTAATCGTCATTTTATGTGAAAACCCTAATCTTGCTTGGGCCTTGAGTTGGGCCTTTCTTTTGGGCTTTGGTTATTAGGCTATTAATGGGCCATCCAAGAACAAGCATATGGACTAGAATATTTGGATGGGCTTTAGGGTAAGGCTCATGTGAGGGGTTTGGGCCTAATTTGGAAAATTAGGCCATAGATGAGCCATAATTGGGCCTTGATGATTATGAGATATTGGACAATTAGAATGCCAAATTTTTGGACTGAAATTAATGGTTGGGCCTTAGGGTAAGACCATGTAAGGGTTTGGGCCCAATTTGGAAAATTGGGTCATATGTTGGGCTTGGGTTCATAGTTTGACTTTTAGGGCCTTTGGATTGGGCCTTGGGCTTGAATTAAGCTAAGATAGGGGCAAAGTAGTCTTTTACCCTAAGCATGGACTTATGGTTATGTGTTGGAAACCAATTATTAATTTGGTGTTGTTTTGATGTTGACAGTTCAGGAACCTATCATCCAACATCTAGAGTTTATTTGTGGGACTTCAGCAGTGTGAGGTGAGTTACCTTCCAGTAAAAGTGGGTCGAAGGCACTAATTCGACCCACTAGTAGTTGATTATAGCTGAGACGATTGTATCTGTGATAATTATCAGGTATGCCACTATATGTTATGCTTTATGTGCTAATATGCTATGATATTATGTGATAGTGGTAGGGGTAGGTTAGACCCTGTAGACGGTTGAGATAAACCAGAGGGTAGGTCGGACACCCAGATGTGCCTGACAGTATGTTATGCTATGATATTATGTGATAGTGGTAGTGGGTAGGTTAGACCCCGTAGCCGGTTGAGATAAACCGGAGGGTAGGTCGGGCACCCAGATGTACCTGGCAATAAGTTATGCTATGTTATTATGTGGTAGTGGTAGGGATGAAATAGTCTCTATAACCGGTTGAAATAAACAGGAGGGTAGGTTGGGTACCTAGATATGCCTAGCACGGTAGGTCGAGAACCCAGATATGCTTGATAAGGGTAGCTCGGGCACCCCGGTATGCCTAACAAGGGTAGGTTAAGCACCCGTATATGTTCAACAGGGTAGGTTGGGCACCCATATATGCTTGGCAGTATTTTTATTGTATCGTATGTGGCATGATGGGGGAACTCACTAAGATCCATGCTTACGGTTTACAGTTTTGGTTTCAGGTATTTGCTATCAAAAGAAAGGAGTCGGCTCGATCGCAGCGCATCACACTATGTTTTCCGCACATGAGATCTTTGGGATTACACTATTATATTGTTTTATGATAACATGTTTTGATTATTGACACTTTGGTTACGATATGGTATGTTATTTAGGATGTTTTCTTATACTATTGGTTTAATAATAACTTAATTAAAAATGAAATTTTTGGTCCTGAACTTTGGGATGTTACAAATCATCTATAAGATTCTCCAAAAACCATTTCCAATTTTCGTTGTTTTCCACACAAACGACAACTCATGCTATTGGGAAAATATGATTGTTAGCATCTCTTCCTACGACACATAACAACTCTCCACTACATAACTCATTTAAGAAACAACCATATGAGTTTATTACTCTTCTACAACTGCCTTTCCAACCTTGCTTTAGCCCCTCAAAACATATATAAAACTTACTAAAATATGTATTCCCATCATGCATATTGTTGGATCTTCTTATCTCCTCACCATATGACCAAAGCTTGGCATAATGCTCATATAGTGTGCCTTCAATTAGTTCAATTGCATATTTCTTTACTCTCTTACACTATCCTATACTCACACCAATTCCAAAATTTTGTTTCACTTCTTCCTCAAGTAGCCTAACATTCATTTTTTGTTTTTGTAATAATTGTGTTATGAATTGGCTACCAATCCATGCATAGTTTACAATTGACCCCATTTTAAAATTTCTTGCTCATCTATAAGAGACTTAATCTAGAAAGAAATTTCTTCACTCATCCACGAAGCCCACAATCTAAACTTGCGAGATTCAATCTAGAAAGAAATTTCTTCACTCATCCACGAAGCCCACAATCTAAACTTGCACTGCCATGAACAAAATTTAACTAAAAGTCTCCTACTGTAATTTTTTTTGTAGCACAACTGATAACCTTTTACAACAGCATAATTACACAACATATGTTTTAGTTGTTTAGGACTTTCAAATCTCATTCCTAACACATGGTTTTGCTTTTTCCAATGAACATTTTCATTAAAAGTTGTTAACTCCTCATGAACTAACGCGTTTTCATCCATCTGGTCATATGGATCCCATGAGGTGGACTGTCTGGAGTTGGCTGCTCCTTAAGGCAGAGGTTGTTCAAAAATGCATCATTCAAGGTCATGTTCATTTGAATGCAATCACCATCTTCAATGTTATCGTCCAAATTACCTTGCACTTGCACTTCATCCAGGTCAACGTCTGCTTCTGTCTTATCATGCAACTCTTCTATTACTTCACCTACACCAGAAAACTTGTCCTCGGGGGTGCATACTTTATCTATCTCATCAAGAATCCATTGATGAACAAACACCAACATGATCCATGTACATAGAAATTACACAACCACAATCATACCCTACTTCGATCAACTCTTGGTAGTCTTTCTCAGTTGCTATTATCCTCAATCCACCAGGGAACTCAATATCGAGCATGCAAAAGTACACATTAATGCATGTTTTGTTTTGTGAATCTTTGAATGAATAATAGAAATATGTTTTTGTTCATTACAGGAAAATCCACATCCTCAAACCTCTGCCCCGCTCCATCTGAGTAACTGATCACTGGATACCTCGTAAACATAGCAACAAAATATAGATCGATCTTCATGTAGACGGCTATCGCAAGAATCTAAGGGGGTCTTTTTTCGAGGGACAATAGAAGAAAAGAGAAGAAAGGGACAAATGAAACCGACTAAAGAAGAATATATCTTGTAGAGGAAGGGTTAGATATATCATTTAACCATACATTACGTGTCATGTGATTTGACGTATGAGGTGTCTTTCACTTTTTAGAAAATGACCTTAAAACTGGTAAAATGTGAATTCATGTCCTTATAAAACCAAAAAATAACATAAGAGACCTTTTAAACCAAAATGTGTACGTTCATGGGGGTTATAGTAACGTTTTCTCATTAAATAAACCAAAATATTTTATTTTGCCAAACAAGGCATTAATCTTTTTCTAATTTTTGTCCTTTATAATTCTTATATTTCATAATAGTTTATTTTACATACAACTAATGTTTAGATATAAAAATTTATAACATAAAAAAACCGTCAAACTTTTAAATGATACTAATAACAAAGATAAAAAGTATTATCCTAAATATTATTTTACAATTTTTTTTATTTATTAAAATATTAGTATCAACTAATATAATTTTTAAAATTATAACGGTAGACTTAAAAATATATATATGAAATGCTATCTTTTGGAGATTCCCTTAAGATTATTTTGTGTCAAAAAACAAACTGATCACAACAGTTGTAAATATTTGTTTTTAAATGTTACATATTTTTTAATACTTCAAGGAACATTGATATAGATTCTTAAGGAGTATTTATGCTTTCCAAGGATGTTGATAGAGAAGTACTTGATGAGGTTTCTGATTTTAAGGAGGTATCAAAATGTAATAATTATACACTTTGTTTATCATCCATATTGATGAGTTTTATAGGTCATAATAAACATGTACATGCGGAAAATCACTTAAAATTTAAGGGAACATGAAACCTATAAGGATCTATGTCATAACACTTTGAAGACAAAATACAATGAACGTAAGGATCCCTACTAGAACCCTAATATAATCAAAATTAGTAGATCTAGGGTTATATAATTGTTGTAGTACACAATTTCTTCAATCCCTCCCTTTGTAGATCTTGGAAAGCTATAGCACCAAAAGTATAAATTCTATAATGCTTTGTACCCAAAACCTAGAACTACAAGACAATAAAATAGAGGAGGTTGGGAAGAAATTTGGTTATTTTTTTGGTAGTAGGAGTGGACAAAAATAGTTAACCCAAGGGTTCTATTTATAGATGTTTAGAAAACCCTAGAAACCTTAATTTGAACATATAACAATAATATTTCAAATTCAGGTAGTTATCTAGTTTCCTAGTTATTAGGATGCTTTAGGAATGCCCA